GCAGTATAAACCCGAAGGAATAAGACCGGGAGGCATGTGGATAGGAGCCACGTTTCATCAACGGAGCCGGCCCACACTCCTTCACAGGCAAACACAAGCACACTGTATTTGGGGAATCAAGCGCACACAAGGCGGTGGCTGGACCGTAGTCCGCTCCACACTGAGTGCATGGAACCACTCTTCGAGCCTAACACGGCCACAAGGACCGTGCACCCCGTCCCCTCAGGCAACGACCAACTGTCTCCTGGAGCCAGTATGGACGACGTAGTGGGTAATAGACAGGTAGGCACCTTGTCAACATGCACATCAAGCGCAGCCACACCGGGGATATCAAACAACAGCCAATCACTTGAGAGAGAGAAAGAGAAAGAGAAAAACTCGATTAATGCATAAGGAAACGGTGACATAAACCTTAATTAAATAGCATACGTAATAAGTTGTTTACAAACACATCCTAGCTAAGTGCAGGAGGTCAGGAAGTATGGTTCGCGGTATGCCACGAACACAAAATGTTATGGAAATCGAATACAATTGGCTGAAGCGATGTGTGCAAGTTAATGGAATAGAGTACAGGGAGATATTTGTATGAGAAAGAAAAGCATTAAGGTAAAAACTGTAAACCTACCACCTGAAATAAAGAGACTTAGCATGTAAGCACGCGGTTAGTAAATTGAATTCAGCGTGCCTAAAAACGCTGCGCCGGTTCGCCGTAATTCTCTGCAGGACCCGTCGTCGCTTCTGTAGTGGCCCCAAAGGACCTAGCTCATGGCCCACACCTGAAATATATATATATATATATATATATATATATATATATATATATATATGCGCCCCATGCTGAGGCTGATGTTGCATTCTTGATGCTTCTTCACCGCAGTTGGGCTAAACCAACTTACACTTAAACTAGGTCTTTTTAAGCTGGATAAATTTCATTCCGCTTTATTTGGTTTGTTCTGCCTCCCTGAATAATGTTCTATTAACTGGCCACGTTGCTTACACTAATTGCGCTTATCTTCGGTAATTTTGTTGCGTTTTGTAGCGTTTTAAGTAACTTGTGGACATTTCGTACTTATCACGGATTTTTGTTAAACCAAATTACTTCATATGGTAATTTAGCGAAGAGTTATGCCACCGTATCTGTATGCATTATTGGATTTATTTTATTTCAGCTTGTCGTTTAAAGTGAATGGCTGTTGTTTGATATCCCTGGTATGGTTGCGCTTGATGTGTATGTTGACAAGGTGCCTACCTGTCTATTACCCACTACATCGTTCATACTGGCTCCAGGAGACAGTTGGTCGTTGCTGGAGGGGACGGGGTGCACGGTTCTTGTGGCCGTGCTAGGCTCGAAGAGTGGTTCCATGCACTCAGTGTGGAGCGGACTACGGTCCAGCCACCGCCTTGTGTGCGCTTGATTCCCCAAATACAGTGTGCTTGTGTTTGCCTGTGAAGGAGTGTGGGCCGGCTCCGTTGATGAAACGTGGCTCCCATCCACATGCCTCCCGGTCTTATTCCTTCGGGTTTACACTGGATATGGGGTATGTGGTTGGAGCTGTGGGTGGTGCAGCGCAAGCCATCCATGGTCCCTCTGTAGGTGCAGGCGTCCTGTGGCTTGCCACAGTGACAGGCAAATCCGAAACCGGATGCCGCCAACCATATATATATATATATATATTTATATATATATATATATATATATATATATATATATAGATGGTGTTGACTTGCATGTGTGAAATTCCTCAAAATGGTTTTTAGCTTTGCGGTAAACTTAGTCCATGTAATAATACTATTTGTTATTTAAGCATCCGTTTCTGGTAGGCAGTTTGAATCCATAAATGTCAGATCATGAAGAAGTGCAAAACGTACCTTAAAATCATTTTGGAATCGTGAATCTAAGCTGCAATTGTTTAAATTCTGCATTTACTTCGTGTTAGAATACTGTGTTCTTGTTCCCTAACGGAATGTAGCGACGGTTTTCGTGTTCGCTCTATCACTACATCAATCGAAAATCCCTTAATTTTGGTAACTGTTTGCTTCACCTGCAGTGGCTGCGACAAATGGTGGATCAGTGTAGCTACGAGATACTTCACTGACTAAAGGAGCTCAAAAAGTCGCCTTCACTCTAAGCTTTGGGACAAATTCCTGACGCATTCAGAATCAAACAGCGAAAGATTGAACAATGATTTAATTCGTCCAGACAACTTTGCTGCCTTTCTGAGATGAACGGGGTTTGCGAATTCACGCCAACGATAACCTCATCTGCATATATTAACAGCATAGTTTCTTCTGGAACACGTATAGATCTAAGTGGAACAAACTTATTGGCAAAGTAGCTCTTTGAAGGACACCGGATGTTGTGGTAAGTGGTCTGGAGCTTCTGCCGCCAGACCCGGTAAACAGAGTACGTTTGGCAAAATGATCCTTTAGAAAGAATACTAGGGAAGGTTGAATACTAAACGCCTATGAATCTCGCAACAGTGATTTACGGTTAACACAACCAAAAGCGTTGCTGCAGTCAAGAAAGCAGACACGTGTGGATTTGCTCTTACTGCCCACCGACAACAACACTGAATGCATTAAACAAGGCAATGCGTCTGTTATGGATCTTGTACTTCTATGAGCAAAATGAAATGAGCCATCCAAAATGGGACTAGATCAGCATACTTTCATGAATGATTTTTTCCAAAACCTTCAAGTTACCGAGGTGGATGCAATAGTCCGATTTGCATCCGTCCTTTCTTCGACACTGAAGTTATGCTGTTAATTCTCCAACCAGTCGCGATATTTCCCTAATGTAAGCGTATTTTGTAATACACGACCAGAGACTGAACTAAGGATTCGACACACGGCTTGAGGACGAAGGAAAACAACATGTTAGGTCAGCGTGCCTTGCCTGAGTGCTGCTGCGTTAGCTTCTTATGCAGTGGTGCAACCTAGACAGGAGGCAGTGAATCCGTAGACCACTGAAACGGTGTAGCTGGTAAACCAGAGAACGAGTCACAGTGAGTAAAGCAGAGATTGCAATTTAATTCATCCACATCCACATAAGAATTTATGCTTTGAACTGTGACATAGCTGTTGTTTCACCATGCGCCAAACCTCATGACAACTGTTGTTTTCCAGAATCGGCTAGACATATATATGAATGAGGTGTTACCCTTCCTCCTTGTTGTTAGTTGCTCACAATATTCCGATAACTCTGTATAGAAAAAGGGATTAAAGTCTTTGGAAACAACCATTTATCTCAGTCGTGCGATGTTTTGAGGAAGTGATCCTCTCTATTTTCGTCTACAATCATCGTATGGAGTGGCATTTTTGTGGTTTGTCCTTCTGTCGAGCACAGGGGTTAACTTAACTACGGAATAATCGTGAACTACCAAGTGGTGCCCGATTGCAGGCCAGAAATATCTTTAGATTATTGACAGATAACAAATTCAGATTTGCCTTTAACCCAGTGGAACCTTTTACAATATACTGCATCTCGTTATGAGAAATGTGGCGTCAAAACCGTTCCAATCGCTTGCAAATATTACACTTTTTATTCGATTTTCCAAAGAATAACAGCAGAAAAATTATCCCAAATTTTGTCTACTTCTGACTTGAGACGATGAGTGAATACATAAATCATGGCCAGTAAATTGAGCATGACACACGCAAATAGTTTGGCTTAGACTTTGGGACTTAGTCGTCAAAATGTTGTATTAAGGAGAAGAAGGAAAGTTTCACCATAGACATCAAGAAGCGTTAATAAGGATTATGACACTGCAGTCAAGATTCCGGTAGGTGCATACGCGATCAGCATGAAAACAATTAAAATGATCAATTGCAATCACGGCGACTTCAGCATGTTTTGGGACCATGTAACTAACAACATAAGGTTTTCTAGTTGTGCGTATTTGTGACTGTTGATAATGCCCTAAACTCCTACATTATTCACATGAATGAACGGACATTTTAATTAGTAAAGGTAGTACTCGCAAGCTTGTCAATATTTGCTTCCTTAAGGCAACTTTCTACACCGCACGATGCCGTTTTGCAGATTTATTCCATTTCTCTTAGTTTCTTCTTATTTTATGCCCGTAAGATCGATTATTCTTCTGTTTTGCGCGGAAACACGTACATTTGGAGGTGGATATGGTCATGCTTTTACTTCAACCAACCAACTTAAGTTCTGCCTCTGGGCCAAAGAACCGAGGCAGACGCTTAACTCGCGCGGCAACGATTGTTCTCAACTCCTTTGGCTCACATCACTCCCATAAGCGAACAAGCATCCATCGTGCTCGCATCCGCTCCTTTCGCATTCTCGAATGTCTCTTAAAACCTGTTGATATTAAGCGGATTACTACCATACTAATGGCATGAGCGTTAAGTGATTCATTGTTGATTCCTTGATGTCAGTGTCTTGGTCATGATGCTCGTACTGGGAATAATTAAGGTGCCATTTGTTAGGGCACTCATTGTCGTACCCCAAACACTTGTGTAGAACAGGGAACAAAGCATTATGTTATTTGATTGCATTACATTTCATTTGACTTACTGTTAGTCTGATTGCTGCATGTAGGTTCTTCTCCGCTCCACATCAGTGTGGCCAGACAGTGCCTATTCCTGGGTCCGCGAACGACTAGGCCCGGTTCACATGCGTATTCGGCCGAGTCTCCAACCTCCGTGCTGTTGTACTGGACTGTACCGTTCACTGGTGGCGCAAGCGGTGGACAGCGAGCGTTTTCTTAATAGTTGATGAAAGACAAAACACTTGATAACTACTTGTCTTATCAGAAAATCACGAAAGGAAGTTAGTTGAGCAGTTTTTCAAAATAAGACAGTGCAAAAAGGGGTTCATGTGTGGGAAATAACACAACTTATTGTCAAACTATACAAACACGGCCAGACTGACTATCTATGTATATAGTCCGTAAACAGGTCAAATCTATAAATGCTTATTTGTAGTTAAGCTAACAGGCGAACACGATAAATTCATCACATCTAGGATCTGACAGTCATTACACGTCTGTCGTAACACCTGATGGCTAATTTATCCTGTTGGGAACCCTTGCGCTTTCCCTCTCACACACGTGAGGCAGGAACCCACAGTTCTGCTATTAGGAAGCTCTTATTAAAACCGGTGATCGAAGGAGAGCACCACCGACTTCATTAAGATATTGGATGCAATTTGTTTGACGAAATGGACTCAGATCAATGTGAACTTCCGATCATTTCTAAGAGGATGACGTCAGATGGCTGTCTGACTGAGTCAAAACCTGGGGGATTCAATACGTACCACCTGGTAACACCACAGGAATATCGCTTAAACTTGCACAGAAGTATAGGAAATTCAATGAGATTTGAATAAAAGACAAAGGGAAAGGTAGAGGTTGGCAGTTTGTCACTCATTCTTCTTGAGCTTGTTGTTAATTACTGAGCGCCCCTACTAAATCTGGTTTCCGCTTGCTATAACATCTAGCACTCGTAGTATATAAAGAACTAATTGTACTCCCACGGTATTGATATTTTTGTAAGACACAGAGTGTAACGTACTTAACTACACAAAGACGCATTTTGTCGTGTCAATTTGGTCAATGCATTTTCAATAGTTCTGTACTAAAAAGAAAAATTACTGATTTCTTTTACCCGAAAAATGAAATTCATATAAACGGATATCACTGGTTAAGTTTTCCAAAGCAACTAATATTAATAGACCAAAAAGTATGCTGACAAGGCTAGTTTGGAATATACTGATTGCAAAATTTCACGGATGTTTTCCGGCATTAACGATTTGATCCAAGTGATGAAATTTTAGATGTCCTGGTACCTCATCCCATCAAGCATCCTATTAACCTTGCGGTGCTTGTTGTCTGTTATACGGACTCGGAATGGTGCATGAATTTTGCTTCTACTGTACGCCACCTAACAGACAAAAACGCCATTTTTACTAGGAATCCGTGAGAACATTTTTACTGCTTTCCTTAGGAACAAGGTTGCGAGTAATCTACCTGTTAATAATGACTTCGTCCTCTGAGTAAGGTCTATCGTGGTATTCATAAACTTACCTAAATTGACAATTCCCTACACCCAAGATGGATGTTTTTTCGTAATCCATTATCTGTACACTATTCACTAGAAATTGATGGGACTGCCTGATGACAAACACAGACTGACGACCTGGTGGCAGCTCTGCGTTACCAGTAATGATATAGCTATTAAGCTAACTTTGGGTAAAAAACACCCATTTTCGCCATCTTTTTCACATAACATTTGTAATGGTAGTTTATCACATTATCTTTTTTCACATTTGTGCTGCAGTTAAGAGGGACAGTCAATCGTGCCATTTTTATGGAATAATTACTGAAGGCTTGTTCCTTCATAGTTTGTATAACTTAGGGAGGTGGCAGTCAATACTTACTGTCCGACCTTACTATTTAACTTGTTTATGATATGTAATTTCCGAGCCGCCGGATGTGATAAATGCAAGAGTTGATTGGATAAGAAGTATTAATGTTATTGCCATGTCGAATAAATTTGATTTGTTCTTTTGTCAATTCATTTACACCACCCACGCCGCGTACTTAACGTTTATTGGATCAACTTTGTGCGATAGCAGCTTATTGTTTGCATCTGTACACCTCGACCTATCTTATTGTGGTGCGTGCATGTGCAGACAGGCTTATACGTGGATTCCGTTGCCACTCTGGTCTTCTGCATTTTAGGACATAACAGATAGACATGGTACTTGTGTCATTGCACGCACCTACACCTGCGGTTATCCCAATTGCCGAATTTTGCAAAGGCTAGAAAAACAGTTTCACCTGTTAAATTTCTATGCTTCCATTTCTCAATCCATCTGTGAAACTGAAAACGGAGGACACTTAAATTTTTGCGCTTGCACTTCGGCTCAGAGGGTCGACCTACATGCGATTCTATAAAATTTCTGAAGAAGCATACATTTAAAGTTGCTTAGCAGCCCTCGAAAACATTGATGTGTTCGACTGAACTTCTATACCTCACGGTACAAATTTTCGCAGCTGAAGCAAGCGTCTGTTAAACCGCTGAATAATTTAATTTCTCCCCTCCTTTGTTCTGTTTATAATTGTGACTACAGTATTATACCCAAAAAGGGCTAGTTGGAAACTATGCTAATACAACAGATGATATCTGTTCTCGAGAAGTATGGGTCCAGAGAGAGTCTGTTAAGGAAAACGCAAAGAAACTCATTTGGGTCTGGGCCTGAGACGTGGCTCGCGCAAAGCTCGCAGTTAGGGAACATAACAAAATATACTTATTCAACGCAGTAGCCACTGAACTTGGTCGTTTGAATTCTGTACGTACTCTGACCCGGTGCTCAATGGGAAATAGGTGTTACCACTTTGGAAATACCGAATACGGTGCAAATAAAAAATCGCGTCTTGTAGTGAGTGCAATCTGCCGGGCACGTGGTAAACACGGTCATTTTGATCGAGTTTGTCGTTCCTGTGCCATTTCTTGTGTTGATTCTGCAAATGGGTTTACGACTTCTCCAGTCACAAATGAACATTCCATGTATGGTGCTAGTGAATTTATACACCCACTTTATTTTCCAAGTCCAGAACCAAAACCTTCTTCAGTATACTTTTTTTCGAAATTAGAAACAAATCCAAAAGTCTAGTTATAGAACTGGATATCACGTCAACCATCACAGCGGTGCCATTTTGCTTATATAAACAGTACCTTGGCCAGTTGACTGTGCTTCCTTCCGCTTACACTTTTAGCAGATACTCAAATTTTGATGTTTAAATGTGTGGTTCTTTTATAATGTTAATGTTTCTTAGAAACAACAGGGAAGCGCACAGTTGAATTTAAGTTTTCCGAAGGCTGACAGTAAGCCTGTTTTGGAACCTAAAGCCTTGATTTCATTGAATTACTTACCGTGCGTCAGCCAAATGTATATTGCGAGCATCAAACTTAATTCTTCACGGTTCAGTTACTGAATACTGAAAACTATGTGTCAGCAAGTAGAAATTTAAATTGTTACAACCATCTCAATATACTGAAAAAGATTATAAACATGTCTGCAATCTTTGATAATCGAAACCTACTTAAAGTTATTAGGTAACATTTTAAAATCTCTGACGTGCAGTTTCAGTGGGTTTGCAAATTCCATATATCATTGCTAGTATGCAATCGTTCGGTGGATCGAACAGTGCTGAAATATGAATTCAGTAATGTTTTGAACTGCTGTACAGATTTAGCAACCACGACGTGTTCTGGTAGACGGTTCCAAACATGCACCACTTTCTGTTCGAAACAGAGGCAGTGGGGTAACGGTTTTAAATCCGGCACCACAAGCCTGCACCGGTATCCGTGTGTGTTGCATGGTGTTCGCAAGTGAAGCAGCTGCCTCTACGTCGCTTTCTTGTGGAAGTTGGTAGAGTCCCAAAAGCAATGCATCGCATTCTGTTGAGCGCGGATTATAAACCGTCCAGCATTTCACTACCCAGGTATGTACCATAAACAAAACGAGGGACTTTGTCTCAAGCCTTGAAACAAATGGTCACTGAAGACTTCATAGAATTAATACAGTATTCTGAATTGGTTCCTCCACTACAAGCCGTTCAGAAAAGGATGGATCTATCCGTGTATGCATCGACCTTCGAGCCCTTTATAAGCATATATTTGTGGACAGATTTCCTGTGTCTTCTGACGAAAAGTTGATGGTCAGACTTACGGAATCCAAACTTTTCTCAAAGCTGGAGACCCGCCGCGCATATTACAATATGTCAGCGGCTTCATGTTGCCGACGTTTTGATTGCTTTCCTTAATAAAGACGGTTTGTATCAGCAGAGACTGTCACCAATGGGCCATAGCAGTGTCCCAGCATCTTGGCAGAAATGTTTTCATCTATCGTTAGTTGATCGCAAATGACGCGCTTTGTATATGGATGATATTTATATCCTCGGTAGTAATCCCACTGAACATTAAGAAAATTTTTATGATGTGCTGCATAAACTAAATCTCCACCTGAATTCTAGCAATTGCCAGTTCGCTGTAACGAAAGTTTACTGGGCATGTTATTTCTAATCCGGGTATTAATCCCATTCTGCAGAACACCAGAACCATTATCTATTGTCCGCAACCAGGCAATGTTGCGCAGATGAAACATGTTTTGGGGTTGTGTTCCTATTACCTTTGATGTTTACCGAATTTTATGATTATTGCCGAGCCACTGTAGAGGCTGAATCACCAAAACCAAGAATTCGGTTGGACCACTAAACTAGATGATGCCTACATGATCATATGAGCAATGATCGCGTCTTATCCTACAGTAGCGATTTTCAATGGCCACTGCACAGCTTTTCTTTCAATGGCTGATTCAGCTATGAACAATGAACAATGACATAATACAGGTAAAATAGCGATTGCTTTACAAGTCCCGTAGAATGGTGGAAGTGAAAGCAAACATAAGTGCAAATCGTCAATTCAAGCGTCTTGTGATTCAGGTGCACCTTATTCATATAAACATTGTAGAATGTGTACTGAATTATTACTGTAGAGTGATATGGGGAAGTAATATGGGGAAGGTATGTCTTAAGAACAAAAGAAACGATAAGGCTTACTCGTGCGTCGCTTTCTTGCACTGAGGTAATTGGTGAATGTAGTTGTAATATATCCGAACCTACATTCCACAACAGCAGTGTGTAAGTAGTGAAGCCCAAAAGCGGCGAATAAGCACCGTTTGTTCGCGTTTGGT